AATTGATACGGCGCTATTGTTTGCCACAGCGAAAACAACACTAAAATTTTGCAGAAAAGAAGAAAGGAGCTTTGAATGGGGCATTTTGATGAAGTGAAAAATAACCCAACAAACTCTGCTAATATATCAAAAATGCTTATGGCAAAGTTTAAAACTTTTTTCTTGTTTTATTACATTTCTCAAGAGAGAAGTCCCCATTTTGTCAACTTCTTTAAAGTTTCCATCGGTAAATCGAGGAAATTTTAATCAATACACTGCCTTACATTTCTAATAGTTTGTTCGATTGTTAAAGAAATTCAAAATGTATTTTTGGAGAAAAATTGATAGGGAAATAAAGCTCCTTACTCTCTATCGAACATACTTTCTGTGTTGAGTGGTCAAGACCGCAGGAGTTGCAGATCATCGCAGAGACGCAAAGAGGTCTTAATACATTGGTCGGAGTTGCAAGGTCTCCAAAATTTCAAGCCTTGCAAGTACAACTTTTGGTCACGACCATTTCAACCCAAATTTTTAGCGAAAACACAATGATTTTACTGGCTCTACACTGAGTAAAGAAGTTTCTATATTTGGATCTCACCTACCCTGGTATCATTCATTGCGCGATATTATCGAAAAACACCTGTTTGACCAGACTTTAAAGGCTGAACGCACGCAAACCATGCTAATAACCACGTCTAGTGCATGGGTAGCCGTTCAAGTCTTCCAACTTGTATTATAGTATAAACTGATGGTAGAAAATAAGATAAAGAATCATACAAGGAAACTAAAAACGTTTTCTAAAATCATGGATGATAGAAAAATAAACTTCTGTCTTTCCAGTCCCATTAACATAGATCAACTTTGTCTGTATACTGTAATCTTGCGGGTAAATTCTCCTCTTCTTCTGTGTTTGTGTGAGTCTCAAAACCATTTTTGCTTGAAGTGCCTCGAATTCTTATTGAAGTGTCTCGTTGCTTCTCTCAAATTCATCTGCATTGCGTTTGTTTGACATGAATTACTAAAAAAAGATCTATAATTATAATGCCTTTGCACCTGGTGTGACAGGCGATACTTTCAAGCAATTAATAATAACAGTTATGATCCAAGAGGCATTACTCCGGTCAATCCGTTGCATTAGGTTAAATTATTCGCTGCGTATTATTTTTTTACCAATTTAGCTTTTTGCGCAAAGAGCCCAAACAGGAAGAGGGAAGTTCATTTCTAATATTAATGATCATCTTGGCTTGAAAAAAACAGTTTCTATCGTAACCATAGCTACCAGACAGTAATAAAAGAAAACACGTTTGGCTCAATAACACTAAAGTTGGGCACCAAAGAACGTTGGATCTTGAAAGGTAAGAGATGACTGTAGTTAATGCATGAAAAACGAGTTTGACTTTCACCCCATGATAAAATATGATATCCACCTTAACTCCTCTATTTCCATGTAGTTGAAATAAAACGAAAATGAAATTTACCGAGCTTCCAAATGTGGGTATCACAACCATTTGGCGAGAAAACATTTTCCGGTACTTGAAATAAACAGGATCATTATCCTTAATTTTTATTTTCCCACAACGGGTTTACTTCGTGAACCTTTTCTCAACTTTATTTGTTTATGTTATGATGACACCCCTCGTAGAAATTGTAGTTCCATCATTACCATAAATAGAGAAATAAGCCAAATTCTAAAAAGTCAGTGCTGGCGGTTCCAAGCATGTCACAAATTGTGAAACTGGAAAGGACAGGAAATTCCATAAGGCGATGAGAGAGAATTTAATACAATGATGAAGCTCACTCTTTGGGTTCAATTTACATTAAAGAAAAGTAACGTTGATGGAAAAAATCTTCTGTATTTGAAAGATCCAACTTGCCAAAAACTATGCCTGTTTATTTCTGTACTTCTAAAGATTTCCTTTCACAAATCCTTTTGTCTTATCCCTCAACTTTGACTGCCATGCAGCTCGTTTGAATTCCGTTCAAATTATGGTAAAGTGATGATTTTGAAATAGAAGAACCTTGAAATATATGGAAGGCGATTTGCAAGGCTCCCACTCAGAAAAATTAGTCGGGAACTGAATGTTGGCTCACAGGTCTCGTTTACCTTAAGTCTGCACCAATTTTATCTAACGGAGGAAAACCTGAAACTTTTTTTACAATTTAAAAAGTATTCCAGTGAAGGTCTTGGAAGCCAGATCCGATACTGGATGGTTTGGCTGAGTCCAATCATAAATTACGGCACTCCTTTTCCAAATAACAATTTGCTATTATCCTTGAGATCAAGTTTGCGCATAAATCAACATTCAGAGCGTCGTCTCGCTAAGGCCCTGAGTTAAGTATAGCAGCTGTCTACCACTGAATCGTTCTCAATCATTATAAGGTATCTTAGGAGTTCTGCCTCGACACTCTTGGTGCATTCCCGATGTATCAAGGAGTAGGTCGTAAGTTGCTTGGCAAATTCATGGAATTTCAGTGGCTTAAGATCCCCCGTTTACGAAAGATTTTCTGTTCGTTCAAAATTAAAGAGCTCAGGAGAACTCGTCTTTTATTAATTTTGACGTTAATGAATGTGGGGGAACATAAAACGACTTGTTTCTGAGGATCTCAAAGAGGAAAACTATCTTTAAATCCTTGCGCACATGTATCCTTTAGGGTAAGCATGAGGGCCAAGCGAGAGAATATTTCGCTCGATGTAATAAAGTGGGTGATACAATTTGGCACTCGCCCTAAGATCTGTGTTGCTACATTTTATTACAGAATTTAGAGTTGATGCAAATTATTATATTACCTCATAGATAACAGAAAAATAAAGCCTGGAATCTTGCAGTCTGCTAGAGCAGGACAAGATACTTAAAAAAAAAAGTCAATTTTGGTTACTTACAATCGACAGCCGAATTGATACGGCGCTGGGCAGAAATTTAGGACAGTCAGCGGTTCGTGACGCGGGCTCTATTCTGTACATTTCGACCCTACTGAGTCTGCGTAGCTTGGTTGTGAAGCAGTCGGAAAGCTATCAGTGAGCGAAATGCCAAAAATTTTGTTTTATAAATCGCTGAATGATCTCAGTACCGCGGATTTTTACACAGAGAGAAAGAGAAAAAAATCTAGATTCTACGAGATCGAAAGAGTCGTTTCAAAAAGAGTCGGTAAGGAAAAGGTAAGCGAATCTGCTTTGCTCCGAGTGTTTGACTGAAATGAATCTCTCTTTCATAACGAATACTCGTTAAACCTTACTCAATCGTTGGTCTAGATTGAATATTTCATCAAGTGGAAGGGCTACTCGAACCTAAAAAACTCCTGGGAGCCAGAAGAGGATTTAAACGCCTTTGCTTTGAGGTGAGATATCATGTGTGATTAACAGCTTTATAATTACACAAAAAACAGGGGGAATCCGTTACATTGGTTTCCTCTGTTGATATTCTGTGCTTGTATGTAATAATTTCCTATTCAATGTAAAAATTGTAATACTATTTTTTAAGATGAATGTTTTTTCCTTGCCCTTAGGTCATTCAACAACCCAAGGCTCACACAGCAAGAGATTGCTGATGCCAGTGAGGGTCTCCACATTGGCATTTTAGAGCAGTTAAAATCAAAGTCTCAATTACCCACTGTCATTGCTTTTAACCACACTTATTTTAACTTTTTGTTTAAAGTTAAGGGACGGAAAAGTAATGACAGTGGATACATCCTCCTTGAAAAACAGGATTTTATAAGATGCCACTTTCCTAATGGGTGGCATAGGCTAATAGATAGTATAGGGGATGGGGTGCAAATTGACTTTCCTGTGAAGGTCAGATTGTTTTTGTCATGGAGTCCAAAGACTCATAGCTGGACAGGGGAGTCAATTACACCTTGCCCACGATATAGGCCAGAAAAATTTAGTATTTCTTTTTGTAAAGCAGCATGTAGCCTGACATGAGACAAATTAAAAAAACCAAGACTTGATTTGATTCTATTTGGCATTGTGTATTTATTACGAAATAGAAAATCTATATTTTTTTAGTAGTTCATCACATATTCTTATATTGAGTCAAATTTTTCATATCTACAACCAAGAAGTACTTGCGGTGTGCAGGCTGTTTTACAATTTGTTAAGTAAGTATAAAGGACACAAGAGTAGACCTCCACTTCATTAAATGCCAGCTTTAAGAGAACATTTTTACAATCCAAAGAACAAAAAAATCAATAGTTTTGTAGTATTTGAGATTGCTATCCCAATCATTGTTGTTATTGTTCTATTTTTCAATACTGAGTTCTCTCCATTGTTCAGTGCAGTGGTGGTCTACTGAAACTACCCTAGATATATATGTTACCCTCACAGTAAACTAACCGTTACTCAGGTTCTTCAGGATCAAATGTTGTTTTCCTTTTCTTGCTCCTTGCCTCAAGGAGATCTTTTTCCCAGTATTCTGTATTTGATTTATTATATGGCCTTTTCTCCCTTTCTGATTTACTTAGTGCCCATTGTCTGGCCTCAACTTTTAGGACATCTGAGGCAGCATCCCATTTATTTGATTTATGTAATACAATGTTTCTAGCATAAACATTGTTTTTTTCCACACCCTGCCCTGTGAAAATTTTTACAGACTTGTGGGTCCTGAAGAACTTGGGGATATGGAACACCATAGCATGGATATATGGTGTTATTCGTGCACGTTCATAGCCCTTTCTTTTGTCTCTTAGAGAAATGAAAAGGTTTACCCAGCTTTTAGCCATTTCAAAAAAATCTGTAATTTGCTTATCTGAATTTTGACCACTTCCAATAAATGTATATAGTTCCCTAAAGTCTTCCCATATTTTCTTGACAGTATTTGAAGTTGAAGTCTGAACAACACTTAAAATTTTGCCTGGGAGCTCTCTCAGTAGTTGCTTTTTGTCATTCCCAAGCAAACTTGTAAAATCATAAGTGCCTGATCCCTTTCCATCAGCACTGGTTTTTTCCCAGATATCAAGACTAACCCCACATGAGCGTATTGCAGCCTGTAGCCTCTCTCGATGAACACTTCTCTTTTCTCCCCTCATCAAATCATCAAATCATCTTTTTTGTCCCACTGTAATACATCCTCCAGTAAATTATTTAGCAACACATCAACTACTCTAAGTAAAAGGTGCAATTCGTCTAAAATTTTATGATCTGACTCAATGTTCAATAGAGGCTCATGTTCACAGCAAAAATTTTCTCTGCCCTTTTTTGATAATTCTTTTAATTCTTTTAGTGTTCTTTGCAATGGTGGCTTATTGTAAAAATCTTCCTCGTGGTTCATATCCCATCTTTTATCTTTGTGAACTTTGCACCAGGCACAAGCATAGAATGAGGTGGCACCTTTGAGACCCAACATGATTAAAATGAATTTATAATCTCCCCCCAAAAAGAATTCTAGTTTTATTTCTTTCCCATTAATTGTGATTTTGGTCATTGAATTTAGATCATTTATGTCTGAAAATACATTAGCAAATGACTCCTTCGGTGTTTCATAATTTTCTGAGCCCTTCACAATGGCGATTGTGTTATTTCCCCTTGCTGACATTAAATGACTGTTATTTTGCAACAAAGCAAAAGAAAGAATGATGAAGGTTGTATTGCGAGTCATCCTTGCCCCATCCCCTGATATTTTAACTTTAACACTTTCATTTTCAAAATCAAATTCTGGATTTTGGTTGATTAAATTTTGCACCCTTTCCTTGAGAAGTTCCTTGAATGAAACTTCTGCACCCTCAGCCCTCCCAGGTGTAGATACAATATGGCACATGTCATTTAGTTGTGTTCGCCGTTGCTTAATTAGATATGATTTTGGAAGATCATTATACATTGAGAACTCATGATAAAATGAGTCCCCCACACAAAATTTGTCTAAAAAAAAATAAAATTTTATCTACTTTTTCTTTTTCCTCTTCTGAAAGGGAGTCAAACCCTGTGGCAGTGTTTTCTTGCTGCTCATCACTGGCCATTTTTACATTATGCTTGCTTCCAGTCTGGACTTCTTTCATGGCAATTGACTCAATTTCTAGTCCAAAGGACTTGGCAAACCACAGTGCTGTCTGAGCTCTTGTCATGAAAGTCTTCAAAGTCCTCGACTTTTTCTTTACTTGAAAAATGTCTTTCCCCTTGTAGTCTTGCTGAGTTGTCTGCAGGCGTTCAATATAATCAATTAATTCTTTATTTGTGGTCTCAGCTTTTTCAACATCATCTTGAACTGTTCTTATTTCAGCTTGCATTTCATGAAGCATTTTTCTCTTTTCTTCCTCCCAATTTGCATAGTTTCATTTCCACTCTTCAATTTCTTCATGCAGGGAAGAGTTCAACTCCTTTAGTTGTTCATTTTCCCTCTCCAGCTCTGCTACTGACTGAACATGCCTCTCAAACACATGGAACTTTTTTAGTTTCGAGTTCAGGGCAAGGCCCTTTCTCCCCCTGATCTGCTTGTATTGAGACTTCACTTTCGCAGAGATTCATTCAACTCTTTTCTCACTTCTTCCGATTTTCTGATAGAAAACAGATTGCAAGGAATAAGTAAGTTCAAACAAGTCTATGTAAGTTTTATATTTTTTCCTCGTACGTTTCTGAAATACTTCCAGCGTGATCGGACCTTGCGTCAGTTCACCATCCACGTGTTCTTCTTCCTCTGTCCCTTCATTTTCTGGTTTATCAAGGAATTCATTCCAAGCTTTAAGCATAGGGAAAGGTATGTCAAAGGTAAATGCAACATTTTCCGCCATGGACTGTGAGACATATTTCAGTGAAGGAGGTTGTGGTGCCAATTTCGTATTAAATATATAGTTGGGAGGAGGTGCGTCCGACATTGTAAATGTTTCAAGTGATTACGAAACTGGAGCTTTGTACGGAGTTTTTTACGATGAAATGAAAAATAACCCAATATACTCTGCAAAACATGCTTATGGCAAAGTTTGAAACTTTTTTCTAATTTTATTACATTTCTCAAGTGGGAAATTCATCCTTATTTTGTCAACTTATTTAAAGTTTCGGTCGGTCAATTGAGGAAATTTTAATTAGCACACTGCCTTACATTTTTGATAGTTTATTTGATAGTTAAAGAAATTCAAAATGTATTTTTGGAGAGTAAATGATAGAGAAATAAAGTTCTTAACTATCTATCGAACATACTTCCTGTGTTGAGTGGTCAAGACTGCAGGAGTTGCAAATCATCGCAGAGACGCGAAGAGTTCTTTTGCAATCGCACTAAACAACCCCTGGGTGTATGTCTCACAATGAAAACTTTACTAATATATTGGTCGGATTAACAAAGTACTCAAAATTTCAAGCTTTGCGAATGCAACTTTTGGTCACGGCCATTTCAACCCAAATTTTTAGCGAAAACACAATTTTACTGGCTCTTCACTAAGTAAAAAAGTTTCTATATTTGGATCCCACCTACCCTAGTGACTATTGGGTCATTAGGCAACATTGTCTAATAACACCTGTTAGACCAGACTTTAAGAGAGTGTCTCTGTAAGAGCGGTCCGGTCGACTTTGCTTCATTTCTTGTGTGTTGTAAGACATTCATGTACCTATACTAAAACCACAATCTGTTTGATCAGATCTCTTTATTTTTCAGAGTTTTACGGAAATTAAATTTCACTCGAGTGAAGGCCTGTCGTGACACTTTTCAAGACTTTAATTTGAGACAACTTTGGAGGACAATTTACAGAAAACTACGGAGCTCAGCAAAAAACAAATATCACAGCCATGTATATTAACTCTATCTTATCTATCGTGGCGACTTTAGTAAACATCACGTTTCAATCAAGCAAACAAGAAGACTTGAATGACACCTTATCGGTTCGCTTAAGTCACACACGCGAAGACCGATCAAATTCAAGGTAAATTTTTGAAAAAGTGACGCGTTCTTAACTGATCCAACTAACATAGCTTGGAAGTAGGTGCCATAGAAAAGGTAACTACAGAAAAAAACTTTGCGGCCGGACCTTTATGAAAACTTAATAACTCAGCGAACTTACCTAATTTTCGGCAATCTCCAAGTTTGGCCGTTATTTTGAGGGACTTGTCAACATGAAGCGTAGCAGATATAAATCGAGCAGGTAGAACTAAAACCGTCAGAAATACATACGAAAGCAATTCAAATGAACTTTACTTTCAATTCAAGCGCCAAAATATGAAATTGTTTGTTAAACTTACCATTCCTACATCCCCATGCGACCATTTCTTTCAACAATTCAAACACTACAACTAGTGTTCGAATTCCCCTCGTCGATTCCACCGTAAGAAATAACCTGTGCCACCCAAGCTTCGACTCGAATGTGAAGTACGAATCACATAACACAACTGCTTCATCTTCGAGGCAATATCACGCTGGTATTTTGATTTTCTGATCGACAAGAACGGAGCGATCGCCATGTTTACCTCATAAACGTAACCGCTGACCAGCCGCTGAGTTAAAACCTCAGTGGTGAGGGTAGGGTGTGGGGTGGGTGCGGGCAGATTATCAGAAGATTTTTGGGAACATTCGAATATATTCATTAAACTATTATAATATGCATTAGGATCTCAGTCTTAGTACGAAGGCATGCTTTGTGTTGCAGACAATTTTTGTTTTGCTTAGTATTCTTTTTTTCTTTCAAATACATTTCGTTCCAAAAACGACTGGCATTAATTCATAGATTTATAAACAAATCTTTACCATGTAAATAATTTGTTTAGATAATCGAGGTAACCATTGAACCTATTGTATCGCATCAGTAGTAACGTGTCTTGTCTTTGCCCAACTCCGAGAACGTGGAGCGGCAAATACGCGAGATACGAGTCTCGCGTCTCGCGGCTTCTCCATGCTCACAGGATACGCGTGACCTCACTACCTTTTCACTACCTTGGCAAGGACTGGCCTATTTCACCTCGCTCAGGAGGATAAACAAAAAAATGTGGATTTGCTATAGGCATCGCCACACGTTGGGGAAGTTTTGGGGAAGTTTTGGAGAAGTGCAAAGGTAACATGTCAGTATCCTGATCATGATGGTGTCAGGAAGCGTATCCAAGGCAGAGATGTAATTACCTCGAATATTTCTCAGGATATTCAGAAGCTTTTTGAAGTTATTATTCCAGTTGGATCAGGCAGTCTTCAGTAACATTTTCTGTTATCTTTTTTTGTCCCGTGACATATCTGCTCATAAAGAGAAGAAACTCTTTATTAGATTAAGGGTACTTAAGTACACATCACGTTGAAAAAATATAGATCTATGTGTAAGTGCTTTTAATTGCAGATGGAATATGAACAATGTTCTTTGGTTGATAATTAATAATGTTTTTGTAGAAGATCAAATTACTGACAACGCAATACACTTATTCATGCGTACGGTTCACAATTATTTGCGGTCAGTTTTCCTCAGTTTGTATGATTCTCATTAACCAGTATGATTAAATTTGTAGACTAAAACACCCCTTATTTGATTAAGAATAATAAAAGTAAACAGTGCATGTCGGTTTTCAATTCCTGATGGATGCTATTGGGCCTTACTTTCAACAGAGAAATTTGCAATCGCATACCTTAGCTCTCTGTGTCCTATGCCGTAAGAAGTACGAGAAAAAAGTTGATGATAGTGAGTCTTGGCTGAGACAAGAAGAATCAGAGAAGAATCTACGTTCCCCAGAAACGCCATTGTTAAACACGAGACAACTAAGGTAAATTGAATTAAGTGGTATTTATTTTATTGAAAACTATCGTTCAGATTATAGGATACACGAACTACTCTCCCCACCGATTTTTTCTTACATTCTGTTAATCAAAAGTTTCAGTAATTATGAAGGCTTCCTTGTTGATCGTCTTAATAGTAATAGTTTCCAGGATCCAAGGGGGGCAAAAAAGAGAACAATTTTCTCCGTAGTTGGGTAAGGCAACGTGCCGGCTTTATACTTCTTCCGGCGTGATAACGATAATGATGACAACAATGGGTAAAAAGCACCGTCTGCTAATAATGACGATTATCATAGTTATAAACAAATCTCAGTCATAGTCCTGAAAAAAATCTCAGGGGGTCCTTTGAACCATCCACTTCATCTCGCCAGAAGTCAAAGTTGCCTACACTCATTCGAAGGTTCGTGCGATTTTACGATGAATTTTCAATTCCGGTGTGTTGCACGCGCGACTTTTGATAAAAAAAATCTGCACGCGCCATAACTTAAAAGAACGTGTCAGCTAAATGAATCAAATCTCTATCATTTTGCATACATTCTTGGGAATAGCAAAAATGACTTAGAACAAACATTCTAAGTATAGTTTTCATTCCGTGCAATAGGCCATAAATAAAAGGTTTTGATGGAAAAGACACCTTATTTTATACCACCGATGACAAGCAAAAAGGTTATATGGGTACCCCAGTTAAAAATATATCGATAACTCTATTTATTAATACCAGTTTTAATTTAAAGGAGAAAGTTATGAGAATGAAATAAAAGTTGTCTGTACCACGAAGCATGCCTTCATTGTTTAGACCGGTAGTCCTAAAACCTTTTAAGTATGTATTCGAATATCTAATGACGATAAGCCCGCCACCCACCCCACCCCGCGCTGGTCAGCGGTCATGTTTTTGAGGTAAACAAACCGATCGATTCCTGATCACC